CATAAGCCAAAAATACTTCGCCTCCAACACTATAGACAAACACGAACAGGCTTGGACTTGTACATTTCAAAGTTTTTTTTTTTTTTTTTTTTTTTTTTTTTTTTTTTTTTTTTTTTTTTTTGAAATATATAATTTTTTTTTGGAATATATAATTTTTTTTTTGATATAACGAGAAATGGTGAAAAAAAATTATGTAAAATAAATGAATAAATAAATGAATATTAAACGAATGAATATTAAAAAAAAAAAATAATAAAAAGTATTTGAAAAGTCTAGGTCATGTTAGGGGATGAAGCGGCCTCAATTACTTGAATAAAAATTTGTCAACGAAAAAAAAATGTAAATAACATTTTTAGATGTCTAAGTCTGAAATTTGTTTTCGCCGTTATCACTTATATAAGCTTTAAAAATAACTTATTCCACCCGCAATAGATATGTGAACTTAATAATAATCTTATCTAAAGAGTTATCAACCACTTCTTTAATATATAGTTTATATTGCAAGCTTAAGTCATCAATTTCGCGACATCCAGTGGGCATATTATAAACCGTATTCAAGGGATATAAGGGCAATACATCCCCATCATACATGTTGCTTATAATTTGTGGAGGGCTTTCCAAAGAATATAAGCCATCATCAACCATAAGATTTTTCAATGCAATAGTTAAGCTTTCTTTTGTGCTGTTTAATTCCTGAATTAACATCTTTATCAGTTGTTGATCGTTATGAACAGTATTTGGATTGAACTTAGTAATAATCTTATCTAAAGAGTTATCAACCACTTCTTTAATAGATAGTTTATATTGCAAGCTTAGGTAATCAATTTCGCGACATCCAGTGGGCATATTATAAACCGTATTCAAGGGATATAAAGGCAACACATTCCCAACATACATGTTGCTTATAATTTGTGGTGGGCTTTTCAAATAATATAAGTCATCATCAACCATAAAATTTTTTGTGCTGTTTAATTCTTGAATGAGCATCTGTATAACCTGATTTATAGGATCGTTATCAACAATATTTGGATCTCCTGGCTTATCGTTATTGTTGCTTTTGGACTTTGGTCCACGCTTTTTTTTGAACATACCAAAGGTACACAAGACGCCTTTATAAATACATCTTTTACATTTTGGTTTACCAGTACATTTTCGATGATCTTTTCGACACGTATGACACGCTGACGGCACATATTTCTTCCGATTGATATTTTCACCAGGATCATCAGTTTTAAAAGCATCGGACATTTTTTGTTAATCGGTATAGATTCTGCTTTTTCTCGATGAATAATTGATTTTTTCCTCAATATATTTTTTCTCGATGGATAGCTGGTTTTTTGCTCGGTGAGTTTATTTCTCGACGAATAGATGATTTTTTTTCGGTGAATTTACTGTATTTCTTGATGAATAGCTGGTTTTTTTTTTCAGTGAGTTTACAGTATTTCTCAATGAATAGCTTGAAATCTTTTGAATAAAATTAATTAAAATGTATATATATTATAGGTAGTATGGTAAAAAATTTCAAAAAAGTAATAATTCGAAAAGAATTTTTTTGGTTTTTTTTTCTCGGTGAATTTATTTTTACGATGAATTTGATACCGGTAATGGCTTTTTATAGTTTATCAGATTGTCGAATCGAATAAAAACGAATAGCAGATTATAACGCTTTGTAAAAAAAAGATGTGACCTCATTATTTACATCTTTTTACAAAGCACAATAAGATGGATAAATCAAATCTTATCGTTATAAGATTGTTTCATATGTTCTATTAGTTATATCCATATTAATTTGAAATCTGTAAAATTCTTAAAATCATGAAAATTCTACGGAACCTCCGCAGAATTCACATCTTTTTGCAAAGGGTAATAATAGAATTCTCTATTTTCATTATTTTTCAATCGACCAAAGATTTAATAACAAAATTTTAAATTAAAATTTTCATCAGAAGATAGTACGTACGTACGTACAAAATATAAGAAGTCAATATACAATATAGTTACACAATAGGAATATTTGCCTTTGCGCAATAGGAATAATTTGCGGAAATTTACAGTATTTCCTTTTTAGAAAGCGGGGAAATCATGCGATAATAAACCAATCAAATCTCGAAAATGTGGTAAACCCGACGAAGAAAAATAAGCGAAAAATATAAGAAACGGCAGTCAGAACCCACTTTGGTGCACTAATAAAACATGTTGAGAAGGCAATTTCACCTACATAAACAACCCTAACACTAACTGTCCGCTTGAGATCCCGAGTTTGTAGACGTTACATAAATGATTTTTTTTTTTGCTTTTAAAACCGTGTTACATAAATGATTCGATTTGATTAATTTGATTTATACAACGTTTTACAAAACTTACATCAATTAGATCAATCAATTTGTTTTTATAAATATAATATATTTCCTATTTAGTCTTAGAAGAAAACGTTACTCATAGAGATTGATTAACATATAAAATCAATAGATGTGATTATTTGCATATTTATATTAGGTAACCGAATAAGCTATACAAAAATTATTCGTGCTTACACCAGACATGTCGGATAACCTCAAGTTATGGTGGGTAATAACCAATTAACTTCACACTTTCGGCAACGTTATAAGCACTGTATCCTAGTGAATAATCAGTTATCATCTATAACAATTAGAGATGGGCAAAATGCGCATTTTAGAACAATGCCATGCGCATGATACATGTGAATAGATTTATTTGATTGGAATTACTACTATTTATATTATGAACGAACTCTTCGTCAGATCATGATCATCTAATATTTTAAATAGTAATTTTTTTTAGTGATCCATGATTTATATATAAAAACTTTGCATTTTTAGATGCATGTGTTGCATTTATTCTTTTCCCTTATGGAGACGAAGTCACAGACCCAAACTGCACACAGTACATGGTGTAATGATAATGCATTATCGTTACACAGTACTGATGATTATGATGTCATGTGCTTTTGTATATAATTAACGTGCTTTTGTCTGTTTTTCATCTCTGTATTTTTGCTTTGGTGTTGCTCGACTCAAGGGAGTCCAGCTTTATCGATACGATCAGCTTTTCGCTTTAAAAAAGTCAATTATTGTGGGAGATGAAACTGAAAATGGCTGAAGCTGAAAGTTAGGAATCTCGATTTGAACCTATAAACCCTACTAAAATCTACTTATACTCTTTTAATATAAACCCTAACCCTAAATTCTAATTTAACTATAAAAAAAAAAACTAAAATAATGCATCCCCAAAAATTCAAAAATTTAATAATAAAATATTAAAAATTTTCAGCTTCATCCACCACAATTATTTTTAAAATAAACTTGTTTGCCTTAACGGTGTTTTAATATAAATTGGTTACCTTGTTGTTTCATTGGGAATTCAAATAAAATGAGTTTCGAAGAGCCATTTGAGAAGGTTTTGAATCTTTCAACACGATATACACAAGTGGACCCAGTTTCAGCTGATACGATTTTTAAAAATAGTCTGGATAGACTGACCTTAGATACTTTAAGAGCTCTTGGAGCGCAGAAGGTCTTTCTGTTGCAGGATCTAGGAAGGAGTTGGCGGACTGTTTTTCATTTAAAATGGTAAAATAATATGAAAAGAAAAGACAATCAAACGAAGATAGGTTGAGAGGAGATAACAGTAGGTTCGATAGAGAGGGGTTTTGGACCAGTCTGAGTTTGGTGAAACAGCGAAAGTAGCTTATGATACCCTGAGAGCATTTTATGGAACCATATGGCCGAAGAGAGGATTCTTAATGAAAAAAGGTTTTTGTTTTTAGAAAGATCTTTGGAGAAATCCTTGCTGGCAACATTAGCAAAGGCAGTGGAGTAGATGAAGTTGAATTTACAAACAGCTGATAATAGTAATTTCGATGGACAATATAATCTTGGAATCTGTTATGAAAATAGTATAGGCACTGTCAAGATAAAAAGAATGCATTTATAGTATTTGAAATCTGCTAAAAGTGACGAGAACAATGTAATATTGGTTTATGTTATGAGAAGGTATTGGCACTAACAGAGATGAAAAGAAGGCATTTGAATGGTATTCAAAATCTGCTGAAGATGTTAATTTCTGTAAACAATGTAAACTTGGAATTTGCTACGAAAATGGAATAGAGACTCTAAGATATAAAATAAAGGCATTGAAATAAATGAAAAGAAGGCATTTGAATAGTATTTAAAATATGTTGAAGGTAGTAATTTCCAAGCACAATTTAATCTTAGTTTATTATATGAGAAAGGTATAAGTACTGTCAAAGATAAAAAGAAGGCATTTGTATGATATTTGAAATCTGCTAAAGGTGGTAGTTCCGATAGACAATATAGTCTTAGAATTCGTTATAAGAATAGTATAGATATTATTAAAGATGTAAAAAAGATATTTAAATAGTATTAAAAATTTGTTAAAGGTAGTAGTAATACTTATAGACAATATAATCTTAGATTTTTTATGAGAATAAAATAGACTATTAAATATGAAAAAAATATTTGAATAATATTTAAAATTAAAGTTAGCAATTTACAAGAATAAAATAATCTTAAATTAGATTATAAAAATAGTAAAAGTACTGCTATATATAAAAGAAATATATTTAAATTTGCTAAAGATATTAATTTATAAGCATAGGTTAAAATTTAAAATTTTAACAAAATTTTAGTAAGATATTAATAGGATATCAGATATTTATAAAGCTAATAGCTATTTGATACTTAGCATATATTATCTACTTATCAGATAGATATTGCTTCTAATAGATCTATTAAATATCTAATACTTCTATTAATAAAATATTAAAACTCTTTCCCACGCATATCAATTTACAAAAATCTAAGCAAACAGAAAGAAATAAAATAACAATGGTAACTATAATTAAACCTAACTAAAACTTCTAGAAGTTATACTAAAACCTCTGCAACTATACTTGTAGAAGATAGTCTCTAAAGTACTATCACATAATCCAAAAACCAAAAATTAAAGGAAAACAAGGAACAACAACAATGACAACAACAAACTCAATATCTCTACAGAGAAAAAAAGGCCAACAAGGCTTCTCAACTTGATACCAATAATGGCACATAACACAAAAAACAAAAATATCAAAAATAACAACAACCTATTAGAAGAAAATGATAACAACTCTCTAACTTCCACTTCTAATACTAAACGAAGATGTATTAATTTTTCTTCTCAAAATAATAATAGAAAAAGTAGGTTATCTAGTTTACCCCCTACAAATCTAACTATAATATCACATGTTATACAACAATATACTCAAAATAACAATAACAATTAGCCACAGGAGTTATCTTATGATTGTTATACCAACTATGCCAAAAGTAGTAACTCAACTTATGCACCTAACAATACTCCAACTACAAACAACAACAAACCCTCTAAGTCTAACACTATATCTGTTTCAACTACTGAAGAAATTGCTTCAATATCCTAGCTAGCCACAAAACTATTCTATAGCTAAACACTTCAACTAAATCTCAACAATGAAACTGAATATAATGATTCTTTTATAGATATAATAACAGAAGATTCTTTAAACAGACAAACAGAAAAAATTAACTAGCTTAACTATATCAAAGAAGCCTAAGAGAAGAATCTAAAAACTGACTTTGAATATAATACCTGGCCTAGAGACAAATTATTACTATACTAAATGATACAACAGGAATTACTAAATTCACCTTATATAAATTTTCTACTAGACCTTTACAATATGAAATTCCTAGTGCAATACTTCTTAAGTTCAAGTATCTAGATAAGGCCTTCTTTACTACTTTCACTAGTAACAAATGAATTATGCTAGCATACCAAATCGAATTCAACAAACTTATGCAAGAAGCATTAAACAAATACAAAACTCAGAACAAAATCACTATTACAACTAAAGAAATACAGAATATCATACAACACAAACTTCAACAAATCTTATTATTGACTATATTGCCAGTTTGAACTTTAGAGAAATGGATAACTACCAAATAACTCGTATATTTAAATATTGCAGAAATTTTATCAAAGCAGATCAAATCGAGAACTCAAAAGCAATATTAAAAGCAATACAAGAAGCACAAAACTCTTTGCTCATACCACTACCAGATACTCCATAAGAGATTCCTGAAGAAATATCAAATATGCTACCTTTTATATTACCTATTCAAAAAAGATTACAAACAAAAAGAATTGTCAATACCTATGCCAAGTTTTTATATTTACAATTCTCCTAATGACATACTTTACTACATTACCAGAATTACCAAAAAAACTACAAGATCTCCTACCAGAAATTAAAGATCTCTTTCCTATTACAGACTATAAACAACTAAAATTTTTAAACTTCTATTGAAACAAACTTACAGATCACTACAGCTTTAAAAGACTACTTAGCAGTTACTTCAAATTACCACTACCAAGAGAATTTCTACCTACTACCTATTATAAACTCAACAGTAAAGTCAGATATCTGTTTCCACTAGAGTTACATAATAATAAATACTCTATACAAGAAATATATGCAATGCTTTAAGAATTCTATATATTCAAAACTATTCTAAATGACTTCTTTAAACAGAAACTATAGCTACCTAAAGACTCATCATATATTAAACTGACCTCTACATATATGTATTCGATTACTGATAATATACAAGCAAAAGAATTTTTACAAGAAGCTAATAGCAAATACAAAGTCAGATTTCCAATTAATGAGGATATCATGATAGCTAACCCAACTGACAAACCAAGATTATCTGAAGAACCACAATTTATTTTAGAATACAATCTAACTATACTAATCACCTCATCTAAACAACTCCTAAATATAGTTAAATTACTCAGACAAGATTACTATTTCACTAAACTCCTATTTGAATAGATTGAATTAGGACCACTTTCAAATATACAAATACCTAAAGATGAAACAATAACAAACAAAGACAAATTATCTATTCCTAACACTCTAACTGAACTACAGGATTAACTCAAAAAAAATAAAGAAGAGATCTATGTCATACTACTAATCACATAACAAGAAGATATTACACGAACTCTAACCACTTTTAGAGAATACTTTACCATATCTTATATTCTAGAATACTTACTCAACTTACTACCTCTCCCAGAACCAACCTGAGATATTTTTAATTAATTACTTATAGATAACAACACAAGTGATATACTTAACAATTACAACAACAACAATAATGATATCCAACATCTAAACAATATCAACTTAGCTACGCATAATATACAAGGTCTCAATGACAAGATAAAACTACAACTTTGGCTTGAGTATTACAATTACTACAACTACCATATTATAAGTATGACAGAAACTAAGTTAGCAGAATCCACATCATCAAACTTCTCACTAAGAAATCCTTATTATCATATTTACACTTCAAACTGCGATCAGCTAACTGCAAAAAAACAAGAATCTAGTTTAGACACTGCAATTGCAATTATACCAATTCTCAAACCTTACATACATAATATAATGAAAATACCTGGAACTACAATTGCAATTGACTTTTTCTTCCCTCAAAAATATTATCTTCAAGTAATTTCATTATATTTACTCAATAACAACAATCCACTCCTACTCTAAACACAATAAGTAATACAGAAATAGATTGAAGAAGCAACCAACTCACAATACCATATAGTTGTTATGGGTGATTTTAACTTTGATCATAACAAATCATCTAAAAAGAAACTATCTATTTTCTATACAATGACTAACTATAATTTATTGAGCACCTTATAATACTTTCATATACAGGATCACATATAGTCTAGACAAAACTTATATAGTCAAATTGATGATATTTGGTTTTCTAATACACTAATTAATAATACCTCTAAACTACAAGTCTCTTCTGCAAAAAGAATCACAAACAGTGACCACAAAATAATTTATACTACATGGTATAACAATATCTTTATTCCTAATACAAGAAGCAAAAACAAAAAGCAAAAAATCTTTAAATACGAGAAAATGAATATAGATACATGGGCCGATTTTTCTAATGAAGTAGACAAGAACCTAGACTCAACAAAAATTGCTAACTTAAATATCCAAGATACTACAGAACTAAATTGACAGTAGTATAACTTCTATACTGCAATTAAAAAAGCTTCAGCAAAAAATATTCCAACAAATAAAACCAATTTCAAAATTTATCACAGCTTTTCAACTCAAGTAACAAAACTTTACCAATCTCTCAAATGTCTAAACAAAATCCTAAGATCACTTAAGTGTACTGAATAGAAAACAATAATGAATATATTCAAAAAATTCATAGTAATATTGAGTATATTAACAAAAATACCAAACATCAAATCAGTTTATTAACACCAGAAGACCTTAATATAACAAATATAATTAATACTAGAACATATCTCAAATAGCTCCAAAAACTATCTACGTAGACAGAAAAATTGAGAATAATATTGCACACAACAACAATATTAATCAACATATAAATAATAGATATAATAATTTTGCAAATAATACTACTAAGATGATCAACAGCATACTACACAGACACACAGACCCAATAATCTTTCATAATATCTTGCTACCTAATGAGATTATCATAGCATCTAAAGAAATAAAAAAGAAAATCCAAGACCACTATGAAAACTGGACCAAATCTAATCCTCTAAATACACTAAATTAGTACCTTTGGAAAAGAGAATACAATCTCATACCAAACATCTTACCAAACTAACTCAATTCAATAACTGTCTCTATAACCTTTGAAGAACTTACAGATACAATACGACAAGTACTTCTTCACAAAGCAACAGGATTACAAAACATCTCAAATGAAATGCTAAAACACTTAAACGATCCTTCACTACAACTACTGCTAAAAATAACTAATGCTTATCTACAGCTACAAACAATACCAAAAATATAGAAACAGAGTAATATCTTCCTAATATCAAAAAAACCAATCTTTACAGAACTACTCAACAATACCAAACTGATAACCCTTATCGAACATACAAGGAAAATCTTTACTAAAATAATTACTACATATCTAAATAATATTTTAACTAAATATCTAGCTCTATACCTACACAACCATGTAGTACTTTCTAATACTTTAACAGCAATCCCAATTCAAACACTTACGCATATTATATAAGATACACATATAAATGAGAAAGAATTATGGATACTATCATAAGACATATCTAAAGCCTATAACTCTGTTCACCTCTCACTACTATGTTTGGCCTTACAAAGAATCCACATACTAAAACAAATAACAAATCTAATTATAGACTTATTCACAGACAGAACAAACAAAATAATCACAAACCTTGGCTTTACAGATCAATATAATGTATATAATTGAATCGATCAAGGAGAAACTATTACTCTATTACTCTGGTGAATCTATTATGATCTCTTACTAAGCAAAATTACTAAACTATATCAAGAATACATACTTCAAACCTATATTCTTAACTATGATACTAATGACACTACATCTATTAGAACAAATTTCTCAATACTAGCATTTATGGATAATACAATATGGCTAGCTGAATCTAAAGAAATACTAAAAAAAATTATCGATACTACAACCTCTTTCTTTTTCTTAGCTAATATTACTGTTAATCCAACAAAATCAGTACTTGTAGCAATAACAAGAGATAAAGACCCTCAAATAATCTTTGATTATATGATTATTAAAGGAATACATAGCAATTAAGCTTTCAGATTTCTAAATTGTTGGTTCTCAATAACCAAGAAACATATACCATCACACAAAATTTTCTTCAAAGAAGTTAATAATACACTTAAGTTACTATATAAAGCCAAAATCACAGACAAACAAGCAATATATATAATCAACTAAGTTATATTATCAAGAATATCATATCAAATTCAAAACACCTTTCTCTCTGAATTTTTATGCAATAAGATTACTCAATATTATATAACATTAATGAAACACAAAGCTAGACTCACCAAATCAATACCTAACTCTACAATATACTACTACAATATTTACTCACTTCGTACAGTTCAAGATATCCAAAACAACAACAAATTGCAATTATAACTAGATATCTTAATCACTTGCAATTCAATAAGTAAGCTTTTAAAATCTGACTGCAACAGATTCAAAATATAGCTGCAACCAACACATCTATACTTTTACAAAATAATTTTGTTACTACCTCCTCAGAACAAAATACCATTACAACAAAAATAATTCAAAATCTTCACTCATTCTCTATACAAATCATGAATAACTCACAGAATATGTAGCCAATTCTACTTAATTGATAATCTGGATAAGATCAGCACTATTACTATATTGGAACAATAGTAAATTTTGGGGATAAGTACAATATAAACTTTAATATATGCTAAAATCTGATGTCATTCCAATGATAAATAATTTTTTTATTAAGTTAATAGCTCAAGTCAATTAATTGAAAGTTGTAGAGCTCACTGAGACGATCTAATGATGATTAGATCATTTAAATTGGCCTAGTGTACACTAAGATATCGCTAAAAAACTATTAGCTAACTATATAAAATTCTATATAAACAAACTAGAAATTTTATATAGTTAGCCAATTGTTTTTTAGTAATATCTTAGGGTACATTAGGCCAATTTGAATGATCTAATCATTATTAGATGCGTCTTAGTGAGCTCTACAACTTTCAATTAATTGACTTGAGCTATTAACTTAATAAAAAAATTACTTATTATTAGAACGACACCAGATTCCAGCATATAATGAAAATTATAGTAATTTTGCCCCAAATTCTAATATAAAAATAGTGCTGATCTTAGCCGGATCGGCAATTAACCAACCTTTTCACTCAATTAATCTAATTCTTAATTATTTAGATATACCACATAAGATTAAATGTAGCTTAAATAATCTAGGTCTTTATTATATTGAACAATGCCTAAACCAGAACTAATCTAAAACTATTAGCAGGAATTACTTACTACAAAACATTCAAAAAATACCAAGAGGCAGAGAACCCAAATAGTACAAATTGATAACAGACATTATCCAAAATCTATATCTTACTAACCTAAACCTACATGTAAATCTAATCATATATACTCCCTATAAAAATACAATACATAAAAAAGACTAAACAATAGCCAAAATGAACTCTGATAAGCTAGGAAGAATATCATCAATTAACAACAATATAGCAACAATCAGACACTGGGTCATTAATCAATCTAATAACATGTTAACACAATGCTTAGGCTATATCTTGAATACAAAAAACAAAAAGAACTACACCTTTTACATGCACAAACAGTATATCAGCAAAATACAAGTCGATTCTTACAAAATCCTTCGATTTTACTTAGATTCTAATAATCTATTCAACTCCCAAATGACCCAACATCAACAAAAAACAAATTATAATACAAAATACTCTAAGATTATTAGACCTAAACTCAAACTTAGCTATAACCTTATCTATGATGCAATATCTAATACACAGGTAGCATTCTCTATTTGGCAAACATTAACAGAAAATACTAAATTTTATAATCATTAATTTATCAGAGTATAATCATAATAATTTATAATACATATTTACAATAGCTCATAAAATATCTATTATATATTTAATAAAAGTTTATTATATTAGATATAATATATTTGGCTAAAATTTTATTACTACTAGAGTTCAAGGCATAGTAAAAGAATTAGATGTAATATAATATTAAATTTTTTTGCATATAATTTTTTTAACTAGCTATAATAATAAATGATGAGGCATGATCATATCTCTTTGCTTCAAACCTAATATATTTATAGCTTCTTTAGATATTTTAAGTATCTAGTTTAATATAAAAAATTTTGTATTACTAGTTGATTTGATCTTATATGACTAATTAAATTCATATGCATATATATATATGTTGTAAATGGAAAATTACTATTTCAAATAATACTGCAACTCTAAACATAGTACAAATTCTGAAAATTCTAAGAATTTATAGAATAATTAGTATTATAAGAATTCACAAAATTCTCAAAATAGATATCATTATATAAATAATTATAGTTACAGTATCTGAATTCTTAATAAAATAGCAATAGTAATAATAGTTAGTATAGTTAGTATTGATAGCATTATTCCTATTATTATTATTTTATTATATATATAAAGAAAGTATATATTAGACAAAAATTTTCTTTTAATAAAATTAACTCCTAAAGTTTGAATAAATAAATAATTAAAAACTAATGAATAAAGTCTGAATAAATACTTTCTTCTCTCTCCTGATAATTCAAATAAAATAAGAATAAATAAATTGTTACTCAACTCCAATTACTTAAACTAAGTCTTTTTATACCTGATCAATACCTTTTAAAATTAGAAATTATTATATATTAGTATAATATTTATTAGTTATAGCTTGTATGACTTAAATTATATTGTCTCAAAGCCAGTATTCACTTTTTCAATTAGTGATAACTGTGAGATAGAACAAATAAAATGAAAACAAATAGAAGCTGAATTAAAAGGATGATTAAAAGAATTGAACTGAATAAATAAATACTTTGAATTATCCTTAAGCTCCTAATCAATATATAAAATATAGAAACCACACTACAATTATTATAAGAAAGAAAAGATAAATAATTAAAATAAATACTAAAGAAATTTCAATATTCAACCTACTCAAAGATCTCCAAGACAAAGAAATAACAATTACTCTGAATTCAATAAAGAAAGTATCTAATGCAGAACAAAAAAAGCCTAACTACAGATAGCTTAGAAAAATTCCAAGACTATGAACTATTCCAAGAAACTTTTCAAAAAAAGTTCTAGTGTATCTATTATAAAATACCAGGATATATGGAGTGTCTCCTTTTAAAAAGGCTAATTTTTATATTTGTCTCATTTTGAGATAATTAAGTTTAATTATTTGTTTTGATTTTTGAACTGATCTAAATTAATTTAATTTCACGATTTTGATTAGTTAAAGGTAACAGATAACTATCAGGTAATCTCATGATGCATTTGCTTTTGAAATACTTGTTAAATATTTCTTTTATATTATCTTGATTTTTTATTATACAAATTGACTTTTATTTATAATTGAAAAATGTTGATCATGTCAAAATTTATATGAATCTAATAAAAACTCATTTTTCAAAAAATGTAAAAATAGGCTCTTTTAAAAGAAAACACTCCATATAATTAGTAAATGCCTGAAAGTTGATGAGTTATATAAATGATATATTACTTTAGCTAAAATTCTTATGAAGAACAAGCTACCTAATTCTAACAACATATAAATGAAGCCTTTAGTAATAACTATATTGATGATGTGTAACTCCTACAGATCCTAGAACTGGTACTGGAAATACTAAAAGATCTTACAAATAATACAAGTGATGAGGAAGTTCTAATCATATATTTATTTTCTTATATCAAGGTGTCTACTTGACCTTCTCTCATTTAATACAAATTTAAAAAAGAAGAAATATATCTAAAAACTAATTCTCAAAGATTAGTATCTATACCTCACTTCTAGTACTAATTACTTCAGAAATTTGTCTAAAAAAATCCTCCTGAAAGAATGAAGAAAGCCTAGTATCAATAGATACTTCTGGCAAAAAAATTCTAGAAACCCTATAAATTTAGAAAATAATAAATATAACCCAAAGAAGAAAATTGAGAAAAAGAGATAAAAAATATTGAAATTAACTTTAAAGAGTTGCTAGATAAAATACTTACTGTCTATGATACCCTACTCTAGAAAGTAAACTAAGAAAAAGAAGAAACCTTTAATACAAGTACTAATTTAAAAACTGAAAATTTGGTTATAGACTTGATTAATGATTACTTTGAAGAAATCTTGACTAAAGAATTTAGAAAAGATAAAAACCCAGTATTCGATCCTGACTAGAAATTCATTAAATTAGATCTTTTGACAAAACAAATAATAATAGGAAAGACTATTGAACTGAAGCAGAAGTTGAAAAGAATGAACCCAAGATATTCACTTACTAGCAAAGCCCTACTGATATGAGTTTTGAAAGAGAAATCATTGACCTCAAATTTTGCTGTCAAAATAGAATAGATGTTGAATTAGACGAATATAAAGCATATACCTATCTTCAAAAATGTGACTATATCAGAGAAGATAATACTGAGATAGTTATTAGTGAAAGAAAAGAATGATGAATAAAAATAAAAACCCAAAAGTATATGATTTTGGAAGCTTTCGAGAAACCTGCAAAAAATGGAACAAAAATGTTGAAAAATTTAAGACATTAATTAGAGAAACAAGAATAATGAAGAAGTTTAATAAAAAAGCCTACTTGAAACCCAGAGATCAAAGTCTAATATGACAAAAAGGAAGATCAAAAAAAAAAGATATTGTATTCCCAGATCAAAGCAAAAGGCAGCTAGAAATTATAAGCAAAAAGATCATTAAAGTTGAATATGAACCTAAAACTGAAAAGAAATGGTTAGAACTATGGAGACTCACAATTGCAGGAAGATCAGATGCTCGATACTTACTTTCTTAGTGGATTGGACTCCAGATATTTGACCCAGAGGAAACCTAAAGACCCTAAGGAAATATTAAAAAGAAATTCCAAAAAAAAAGAAAATTAAAAAAAAAAATTTAGTTTTATTCCCTATGCCCAAAGTAAAGCAACTCAAGACCACCAAGTTCAACCAGTTGATCCAAAATGTTCCTGTGGAACAGGACCTCTTTAGTGGAGAAGAGCTGTAAAGGGAGAAATTACCACCTTAGGTAATACTGCAGCTCCAGACATAGTACAAATTCTGAAAATTCCAAGAATTCATGAAATAATTGTTTTTATTATAAGGATTGGCAAAATTCTCAAAATAGATATCATTATGTAAATAGTTATAGTTATCCGAATTCTTGGTAAAATAGCAATAGTAGTAATAGTTAGTATAGTTAGTATCGATAGCATTATTCCTATTATTATTATTTTATTACATATGTAAAGAAAGTATATATTAGGCGAAAATTCTCTTTCAATAAAATTAACTCCTAGAGTTCGAATAAAAAAACAATTGAAACCCAATAAATAAAGTCTGAATAAATACCCCACCGATAATCCAAATAAAGTAAGAATAAATGAATCGTTACCCAAATTACTCGGACCAAGTCTTTCCACGCCTCGATCGACGCCTTCCAAAATTAGGTATGTGTTTATTAGTTATAGCTTGTGTGACCCGAATTATATCGTCCCGAAGCCAGCATCCACTTTTTCAACGTGCAAGAGTTTTAAACCATATATCAAAAGAAAAGTAATTGTAAAGAAACAAAATACTTTACGACTTTTAACCTCAATCTTTAATCCTAGCAAAATTTTTTACAATACAAGATGTAATAATTTATAGAGTTATATAATACATTTAATTTTAATTTTATTTTTTATATACAAAATTAATATAGTAGGATATAAGTTAATTGAGGTATATTTAGATGGAATATCAAATTTGTAATATTATTCTAATCTTAAGAAATTCTCTTAATTCTATATTCAATTTAAAGTAATTGAAAGTTCTAAAATTGGTTGTTTATAATAAAGATACTTGTCTTATGGCTTCTCCATTTTTATCTTTTAAATTCCAAAATGTATCTTCTAATTTTAATGGATCTATAACAGCTTTTTGCGGAAAAGCTGCGATTGCTAATGGTAAGGCGATTGTTAATGATAACGTTATAAGACCTTTAGTAATACAATATTGAAAGATATCAGTATTAATTGAAGTTAAAGAAAATAAACTCGTGGAAATTTTTAATAATAAAAGGTCACATACCAAAGTTAATTGGAATAGCAAGCTTAGGATTATTTTTTAATAATATTGTCTTTTCAAGTTGTGAGGGTATGGGTCGTGAAATTGTTAACACAGGAAAATTTGTAAGTATGCGAGAGATTGCAACCCAAATTGTTATTAAAGATTATTATGACTTAAAGAATGAAATGAAATTATTCCAAACCTGTCCAACAGCATTTGCACCGGCTTTTTGTGATTTACCCAAATTATTCAAATCATCATATCTTAAAATTTATTAAAATATATCGTTAAGTCAATTTTATAAATACAAAAAATTTACACAAATGAATGACCACAAACCCAATTTCTTTAAAACGCATTAAGTAAACATTAACTAACCTAAAAAGGAAGAAAGTGAAGGCAAAATTAATACAACGCGCAACAAGAAAAAGGCGAAGTAACTCACCTTCACAAGCTCACAGCTGAGCCTTGGTACCACGAAGATGATTTTTGGGTGACGCGGCTGCAATACTATGGGCGGGACCTACAAAATAAAGAAATTAATGGAAAAAGGGAAACATGAGTCAAGGAACGGTTCAGAGGGGATTATGAAAATAAAGAAAAAAAGGAAATATTAGTAAGACAAAAGGAAATAAGCCGCAGAATACTTCCCTTAAAAATTAGTTATAAAAAGTCCTCCTTTTGTCTTGAGTTAGTGGATAACCCCCTTCGCCCCTTGACTATTGTAGTGAAAAATTAAATAAATAAATATTAAATAAAGGTTGTCAAAACCATAAAATTCATTATTGTCAAATTTGCTTCTCCTGTATAACATGTTCAATTGCCTTACCTTGCCAAATTGTTCCCATCTCACTAATTTATTGAATAATGTTACGTGAAGACCCAGAAATACAAGCAACTAACTTGCAGTTTTTCCCTCCTTCACTATCTAAATATACCTCAATTAACTGCTTTGTATATTCTACTATATCAATTTTGTACATAAAAAATAAAATTAAAATTAAATGTAAGTTATTATATAACTCTATAAATTTATTATATTTTGTATTGTAAAAAATTTTGCTAGGATTAAAGATTGAGGTTAAAATTCATAAAGTATTTTGTTTCTTTACAATTACTTTTCTTTTGATATATGGTTTAAAACTCTTGCATGTTGTGGGTTAAATTGACCCTCTGAATGTACTACCTTCTGACATAGTACCACTCTTGATTTTTTTGATTTTCCCAATTTATCGATTATTATTAATTTTTCTATTTAAGATATTGTGCTGATTTATAAAATAATACTGATTTACAAAAAAGACAAACAGTATTATTAGCAGAATAATGTCAAACGAATAATTCGATAGTATTTTATTAATAGGAACAATATAGTAGTTTATTTTATTTTATTTCTTTTAACCTGTTTATTTTATATGTAAATTTATCTATTGAAAATGGGTAGTTTGGTTACCAGGACCAAACAGATCTTTTCATTAATTAGCAACAAGATGACTATATTGAAAAAGGTAGTTAGATTTAGCAGGCAGATGTTCTAAAGCTTAGGTCATCTTTCTTACTACTAAAGGACAGCTCAATTATCACTTTAGGGGTATAGTAATCATGAATTAATCTATAGACTTCACAAAGATAATTCTACTATGATACTTAGTAGAATATCAGAGGGGTAATTAAGGAAAGTGTGGGTTGAGTAGTAGAAATTATTTAATAAAAAACTCTATTGTTTATAAAAGTAAACTTGAAAGTTGTTTCTCTTTATGGGTCTACATAGTTTTTATTTATAATATAAAATTTATATACAAGTTATGCTATTTACTACAGATTAGTCATTTATTGCAGATATGCTATATATCTCATATATAGTATTTAATCTATATATTCTATAAATTAGATATATACTATATATTGCTTAAATTAAATATATGTAATATATAGAAGATATATAATATATAGTATATATGGAATCTATACTACTTGTAATCATATTATTGATCTGTTCTGAGCCTAATTTCTTAGCCTCATATTTTTTTTTTACTTAATTTATACATACTATATATAAATAATACCAGATAACCTATAGGCAGTTATAAGTCTTAAGTTAGATAGTAAAAAAAAGATCTAATTTTGAGGTAGTAGTTGTATCTATATATATAGAAGCTTATTAAAAAGAAGAAAGTAAGAAGAAAGAATCTTCTAAGGCAGTTAGTTTCTAGAAGTTAATCTGGAATTTTTCTTTTGTTAAGTTATTAGCTAAAGGGTATACTTTGTCTTTAAAATATTTGACAATATTTGAGTATGATATAGTTTAGTTTTAAATAATATTAAAATAGATAATGATTTTTGCAAGCATAAAAGTATTAACTACTTCTGTAAGAAGTTTGTTAATAACTTATTATTTTGTTAAGTTTTCAAAATTAGAGTTTTGTTAATAACTTGTTATTTTGTTAAGTTTTCAAGATTAGAGTTTTAAAATACAACTTCATAATATAATTCAAGATATTTATAGAAGTAGTAACTTCTGTATTTAGTATTTGTTACTACTTTGTTTAATTTATATACTTCTTTTTTTGCGTAGTCAGTAAATTTATTGAGTAGTTGAATAGAAATAGGTTTTTTAAAAGTAGTTTCATATTTATTCTTCTTTTTAAAAGAAGAATTATTAAAAGTTAATTATTTTTAAGTTTTATTATCTTTTTTAAGATAAAATTTGTAAATATATTTTAATACTTATTTGAAAATATTAGAAAAATCATATTGTTTTTTAGTATAAAGTATATATTTCTTTATCGAAAAAAGTATACTAAATTTATTTAGAAATTATACAGAATTTTTTCTGTATTAAATTTCATATTTAATAATACAGGATTTGTTACAAATTCTATATCATTTAATACAGAATTTAATAGAGAATTTTTTTTTTATTAATACTTTAAAATTATTTATTTTAATAATTTTTGTATATATAAAATATAGTTAATAATAAATTTAGTATAAATTTAATATATAATAAATAAAATTTTATATAAACTTTGTATTTATATATAAAATTTAAAATTATTTATTTTATTAATTTTAGTATATATAAAATATATTTAATAATAAATTTAGTATAAATTTAATATATAGGGGTCTGGCACCCGTAGCTTAGTGGTTAAGCTACCAACCCTTCACGGACAAGGTCAACGGTTCAAGACCGACTGGAGGCGGAAAATACTCTGTAACCTTATTTAAGGAGTCAATGATCAAATGCGAAGCCCCGTGAAAAGTCTAAGTGAAGTACGATGTTCAGAATAGGAATTATTGGAAGCAGCTCTATCTTGTGGAGTGGTGGCACTACGTGTGACAGTTGGTGTCACAGAAGTTGGTTACACGGTAGCGTGGAAAAGTAAGTCCATATTGGCAAGAGTATAGCAGGAACCAACATCGTTACAGGTGTAATGGAATTGCTTAGTAGGGTTACATGATAACTAATTGAGTAGTGAGAGAAGCGGAGATTACACAAGATATGATTAAGTGATAAGATATTGGCCTTACCGAATACGGAACACCTCTGGCAAACACAAAAACTTAAAAGGGTAGATTCCTGCTGCAGAGTAGGTGGTTCATATGCTGAGGACATATAATAATCCGAAATGGCTGGAAGCACCAGGCTAGTAGTAGCAATACGACAAAGTACACAAGGGCATACCAACATTAAACACCAACCTCTTCTGAAGAAAGCTGGAAATAGTACTATGTATTACAAACCTAGTTGGGAGTAATCTTCGGATTATGAAATATAGCCTGTACTTACCAACACACAGGAGTTCTCAAAAAGGTGTATGAACACAGCATGTGAACACAACTCGACATAATGTAAGTGCTTTCGTGTCTCAGTATTGTGTAATTGTTGATAACAAATAGCTTTAAGCCAGAATACCTAATCAGGAAGTAACTGTGAGGATCACGATGCCAAAATATCTGTAATGGATGACCACCTATTAGGAAGTAGCTTTGTGCAAGCATGGGAGATGCAGGGAATGTAGTAAGAACCTTAAACGAATAAGTTGTAGTATAACAAAACCTAGGATAGTATAAATACAGGTTATAAAGTCTTAGTCAAGTATATCTCGAAGATAAATTAGTCCTAAGGTTGCATATTTAGTTAAATACATTGTAATCATTACTTGTAATTAATTATAATAAATTT